ACTGAGTAGCCCTGACCCCCATTGTGAGCAAATGCTTCGTGAAGTTGGTCAGGGACTTCATCTGCTCTGCACTGCCCGATTCACTGGACCCTCTACAGTTTGCATACCGCCACAACAGGTCCACTGATGATGCCTTAGCCCTGACACTCCATGCTGCCCTGTCACACCTGGAGAAGAGAGACACGTATGTGAGAATGCTGTTTGTCGATTACAGCTCAGCATTCAACACCATTGTTCCCTCGAAGCTGGACAGGAAACTGCAGGAGCTAGGACTGAGCAGCTCCCTCTGCAGCTGGATCCTGAACTTTCTGTCTGACAGATGCCAGGTGGTCAGTCTGGGCGGCACCACCTCATCTCCCGTAACACTGAACACTGGTGCACCGCAGGGGTGTGTGCTGAGCCCTCTCCTGTACTCACTCTACACCTACGACTGCACGGCCACGAGAAACTCCAACATCATTGTGAAGTATGCGGACGACACCACAGTGGTGGGTCTCATCACCAACGACGATGAGACGGCCTACAGGGAGAAGATCAGCGCCCTGACCCACTGGTGTCAGGACAACAGTCTCACCCTCAACATCACAAAGACAAAGGAGATGATAGTGGACTTCCGGAGGTGCAGAGGAATACACCCCCCCCCCATCAACATCAACGGCGACGCTGTGGAGAGGGTGAGCAGCTTCCGTTTCCTTGGAGTTCACCTGGCAGAGGATCTTACGTGGTCAGTGCACACGGAAAATACAGTGAAGAAGGCACAGCAGCGCCTCTTCTTTCTCAGGAGACTGAAAAGATTTGGCATGAGCCACCGCATCCTCAGGACCTTCTATCGCTGTGCCATTGAGAGCATCCTCACTGGATGCATCTCCACCTGGTATGGCAACAGCACCGCTTACAACCGCAAAGCTCTCCAGAGAGTAGTGCGGTGTGCAGAAAGGATTATAGGAGGTGAGCTTCCCTCCCTCCAGGACATCTATAAGAAGCGGTGCCTGAGGAAAGCGGGGAGGATCATCAAGGACTCAAGTCACCCCAGCCATAAACTGTTCAGACTACTTCCATCAGGAAGGAGGTTCTGCAGCATCCGGTCCAGAACCAGCAGACTGAGAGACAGCTTTTTCCATCAGGCCATCAGACTGCTGAACACATCGCAGACACCTCACCCTCACTACTGAAACTCCAACATTACACGCTCCATACTGTACATTAATGCCACTGTTTTGCACATACCAGCCTCTGTATATTTTATATCTCTCATCTTATTGTTTACTTTATTCATTTGTATATTTAGATTAGCCATTTTTATATTTTACGTTTTTACATTACTGTATTTTTACAACTCTGTTGCTGTGAAGCTCGCACACAAGAATTTCACTCGCATGTACTGTACCAGTGTACCTGCACATGTGACGTGACAATAAAAGTGATTTGATTTGATTTGATTTGAGTTAATATCTTCATCAGAGGGTTAATATTACATACATTATAAGGGTTAATATTATGTAACGTGAGGAAATATGGGTTTTCTGTGCCAAAGGTTTCATTTGGCACATACATACATTATAAGCTTTGTCAGCCATTGCCAGACAAAGCTTTGTCAACAATGACCAGGGGTCTCATTTATCAAACATTGCGTAGAATCCTTACTAAAACCGTACTTAAGCTCAGCAAAAAAACATGTTCTTTTGCCAAGTAGGCTTGTGACCTATCAAACATGGAGTACACACAGCTGCACGCAATCTCCGTTTCATAAATCAGAGACTAACCAGAATGTTTCTCAGCTGCATTTTAGTCACATCCCACCCTCACCACGCCCACTTACTGCCATAAATAGTCAATGCAAAGTGCCTTGTGGATCTCATGCATATACATAAGCTGGCTGTTGCAGCGTTCCGCCAATGACATGGCAACCGTAGATCAAGGCAGATCAAGGAAGAGCAATTTCACAGAAGCAGAAGTTGAGGTACCTCTGGGTGAGGTGGAGAAATGAAAGGAAGTGCTCTGTGTGAAAACGAAGCAGTTCAAGTGATAATGCTGCAGGATTTCATGATTGTATCCTTCTCAGCAGCAGCACTGCAGGTGCTCTCCATGTCCAACATGTGCGTAAGCCAGGTCCTTAGTCAACTTAACGTTGCGCACATTTTCCCGCTACGTTTTCTTTCATAAATCCCAAAGTTTGCTTATAAAGTTGCTTACGCAGTTTTCCGACCCCGTTTTGTGCGTAAACAAGCTTGATAAATGAGGCCCCAGATCTGTAAGTTTTTCCTTTAGTAATCTTCTCCCTCTGTGTGCTCTGCTCATCTGCCCTCCTCTCCTCAGTCAGTGAGCATCCGGACGAGGAGCAGCTTTCTAACTCTATAAACTCTGATAAGGAATTATATTTGGCTCGTTGAACACAATATTGCGACTTTGGTGCTTAAAGGTTAATTTTACAGCCCTTCTAATGCTATGGTTCTTATTATTGACATCATTTCTTTCGGCGTTTCGGATTTTGGCCTTGGTATCCTCATTTTTTTTGTTTTCCGTTTCGGCCACGAATTGTAATTTCGGTGCATTTTTGGGTTCTAGGTATTATTTAAAGTGCAGACTAGAAAAGAAAAAAATCACTTCTTCATAACTGTGGAGATTAAACATCCTGCTAGCTAAACAGAGACACTGGGTGGTTAGCCTAGTTTATACTTCTCCATCTGCAAAGGTGTGGGAACATGCAATGCCATTATTCATCGACCAAAGGTAGGGCTGCTACAAACGATTATTTGGATAATCGATGAATCGGATGGGGTCTCGACACGATTAATCAGATTTCATGGGGACATTTTTAAAAACTGCTAGGGAAACGTTATTTCTCTCCTTCCTGCACTTTATTAAACACAACATTATTAGAAAACAGTTCAATAGCAGAAAAACAACATGCCATCACCTAAATTGTCTTATAAGGTGTATAGACAGAGACCCTAAGCTACACCTATCTGTGACCTAAAATGCTTGGTCCAAGTTAAACAGCTTAAGGAGCAAGTCAACCCCTACCAGAGTCTAACTCCACTCCCACTTCATGTTTGAAAAATGCAACACATGCTGTTGCCTGGCAGACCGAGAGGGCGGAGCCGCTAACAAATACACACACTCAGGCTCACGACAGCATTGTGACATCATAATGTACCAGTTTACATCATAGCATACTTCTTAGCCAATAGCGGTGGCAGATTTAATTTAAAATACAGTGCAGAGTTTTTACCTGACAACGGCACAACACTGCCAGTTTTAGGCAGAATATTTAAATTTTAACTAAGATGCACTGAAGTGCCAAATTATTGATGACACGTGTATGCAGCACGATTAGACACTCGTTTATTTAGTTTATCAGCAAAAAAAAGTTTATTTGGGGGTGACTTGCTCTTTAAGGGCAATTCTCATCTGTTTTGTTTGATGTCATCTGTAGACATTTATTATAATTGGGGATATCAAACAACTAATTTTTAAATGTAATTAAACATAGGCTGTGAATTAATCAAAATTAATCACTATTTCCAAAAATGACTGAGAAAATACCAAATAAAACAAAAGTAAATGAATGCCATTCTCCTTGCGATGATGCCCTTGGCAACTGCCATAAAGTCACATCAAGAAATGCTGCTGATCATTCCAATGATCCCAAATAGACTCACATTAGGCCACATGAAAGCAACTGAACCCAAAAATACATTAACCAGTATATAACTGCACTCTCACACAACACGCCTGCAGCAACAGTTAGGACTCCTCCCTCCCTTTTAAAAGCGTTTTCGCTTCCGAGGACATTGTGGTTGTAAAACCACATGCTAGTAGTCTGGCCCCGGTGTGATCAACCAGTTGCTGCTGGAATGTGACGACGGAACCGGTTCGCAGCAGTTTTGGAAGAGTTGTGCAACACAACGAATCAATGACGCAATTCGTTGCCAAAGCTTTTAGTAATCGATTTTCATCGACTTTATCGATTCGTTGTTGCAGCCCTAACCAAAGGGCTCTCAAGGCACACAAGGACGGACGGACTATAGCCCTGTTGAACACAGTGGACAGTGCATGTATGCGATTGCTTGGTCCAACAACAGTGTTCCTAGCGTTGGTGGACATACACTCCACCAACGCCGCTGTCTCTTTTGCTTCAGTTGAATTCTTTGGAGCAAAAGTTTTTATTCCTCGAGATCAAGCTGTTCCATCTCAATAAAAACTCGCTCTCTGTCAGCCATTGCTCCTTGAGATGATTGGTGTTAAGTATTTTTTCTCTTCTAACTTTATTTAACAAAATAGAAATAATGACAATTTCTATTCAGATAATAATCTAAATTTTTAATTTATATTCATATCTTCAAGATATTAGGGTTAGGGGAAGTAAATGAACTCAATGGGTTTCTCAATGTCAGGGAGCCTCGCCTTGATGCCTTGGCCCGCCCCGATTGTCTAGGAGATATGTCATCAGGCACCATCAAGTGTGTTCCAACGAGGCATCTGTCCTCCGATCGTTAGCTGTTTAGCTAGCTGTTCAACGATACATGGGTGGTGTCTTATTTCCCTTCCCTTGGTAAAACAAATTCCCAGAATACAGTCCAGTATTTTCAAAAGGATGGCGGATCAGAAACCAGCTGCTACTTTTGGGGCAAGTTTCCAGTTTAAAAGTAAGTCAGCTAATTGTAGCTATTAGGCTTGTATCTAAAATATTGTTTTAGATCCAAAGCTATCTATGGTTGGTTGGTTGCTTAGTAGTTGTGGCTTTCATGGCTAGCAAGTACTCATTGGCTTACATATTTAACACAAAAAGTGAGGAATCTGCAGAGCGGCATATCCCATATTGAGACATTAAAACATTTTTAGAAAGAGAACAAACCTTTCAGCAGTCTTCTAACATTAACCACAGTTTCCAGAGTACCCAGAGCTGGAACAACACAAGATCATGTTCAGGATACTTTTGAGATCAGAGGTTTCACATTTACTTGATTCTTGGAAAATGTTTCATGTTGTCATTTCAGCTGCACTATCCCGTGTACTGGGATCTCATGGAGTTCTGTGATGGCTTTCGGAAGCTTCTGGATCACCTACAACTTGACAAGGTTGCACTTTGTCTCCAGTAGCTTTAAAAATAATTTGTCTCTCTGTATGCTAGCTCTGTCATGTGTGTCTCATCAGATCCACCTGTTTGGAGCATCTCTGGGGGGATTTTTAGCTCAGAAGTTTGCAGAGTACACACACAAGTCTCCCAGAGTGCACTCTTTGGTTCTGTGTAACTCGTTCAGTGACACGTCTATCTTCAACCAAACATGGACATCAAACAGGTACTTTAATGGGTCTCTTTACAGTCTCTGAAGGTTTGTTTCATAATTCATGCAGCTTCTGTTTTCCTCCCCAGCTTCTGGCTGATGCCAGCCTTCTTACTGAAAAAGATCATTCTGGGTAACTTTTCCAAAGGACCTGTGGACTCTAAAATGGCCGACGCTATTGACTTTATGGTAGACAGGGTAAGTGGACCCCTGTGTGTTTGAATATAATTGAGGTGAAGAGGGTTTGTTAAATGTGAAGACGTTTGGACCGTCAGACCGTTTATTTCTGACGGTCCTAGCCCTAATCCTAACCACCCTAACCCATGAACCGGGACTGTACAACTTTAAGGTTTTAGAAGACCTGTTAAACAGAGCCCAAGGGTCAAAATGCACAATGATGGTGATTTGTAGGTGGTTACTTTTAATAAATTGTCAATAGAATATAAAGGTATTCAAACAAATGTAATATTCCATAAAATTATGGATTATCAATATTATTGAGCCTTTAATATTCGATTGCTGATGAAACTAGTAGGGATGTCCCACTCCGATATTGATATCGGATATCAGCCCAAAAACACTATCGGATTATATCGGACTGCATCAAAAATCTCCGATATTAGTGGTACGTTCTGCTTTAAATTTCATTCCAGCATTTCTGTCCAGCAGTGCCCAGATCCAGCATGCAAAGCCCAAGTGTGCTAGCAAAGTAGCAAGGAACAATGTCGGCCATGTGTCCTTATTTTTCGTTGAAGTCCAAAAAAGACAGTTTGGCCCAGTGCAACACTCGTCGTGCACAAGTTTCCTGTGGTGGAACAAAACTGGGGAAGATGAATACGTCCAACCTCATCGTGCATTTGAAGCAGGATCAAAAAACATTGCAGGAGGATTTTCTCAGTGTGTGAAATAGAAACTTTAGACACCCAACATGTAGCGGTTGGTCAGCGAATAACATTGTGTTTTATTTCCTTATGTCCCTAACCTCAGCTGTTGACATTTATGCCACCAAAGGTTAATAAAAAAATTGGTCAGTTTTGTCATGGTTTGGGGCAAGAGTCTAACCCAAGACATGCTGAATCAGTTCAGGACAACGGTTGACGGAAAAATAACAATCTTTTATTAAAGGAGAACGTTAACTAAAGGTTGGTTTATGCTTGACGCGTCCGTGAGGTCCGCATGGCTCCGCGCGGAAAAGTTGCGTCATTTTGCGTCATTTTAACAACCACGCCCCTCCACCGCGTCTCCGCACGGCCCAGAATTTCCGCAATGCGCACCTCGGAAAATTTCTAACCACGCGGACGGTCGGACGCGGAAAAACATGGCGGACCGGCAAGAACTAGTACGGCAGAGGTTCGTAAATTCAGAGATTTGTATGATTCAGCTCTCAGAGATCACCGTGATCAACATGTTGTTAATAATTCTTGGAGAGAAATAGCTCGCACTGTCGGAAAAGACGAGAACGCTGTTAAAAATGCTGAAATGCCGTTTTGTAAACAGTAATTTCTACTTCTACTATGGTGTAGTGTTGGATGTTTGCCGTAGAGCTCCATGCTGCCCCGTTCAGTTTGGGAGAATATTGGCTCACCGCAGAGACGAGCCGCACAAACCATAAACGCTGCAAATTGCGAAGCGCGTTCCAGCCGCGAGCCACGTCACCGCGCGGAAAGTGAATGCGTCAAGCATAAACCAAGCTTAAGGGCGCACTGGAAATCCAGCAGGTGAAGAAACGGGAAGGCAGCGTCTAGAGGGGAGAACAACAGAGGTGAGTCCTGGGAGATGTAGTCCAGAAGGGGAGTAATGAGTGGGGACTTACGGAGGTCGTGGAGACTAGGTGAGTAAAGCTGGGCGGACACTGTGCGACTTTTTCACTCGTAGCACTCAGCTTCAGCTCAGCTTCAGATTGCAACATCAGTGGATCAAAGACTTAATGTAGTGGCTGTCTTAATTGACTTGAGTAAGGCATTTGATACAATTGATCACACATACCTGCTCAAGAAATGTGAATACTATGGTCTTCGTGGTAAAACCAATCAATGGCTTGAAAGTTATTTAAGCAGTAGATTTCAATATGTAAATGTTAATGATATAGATTCACAGCTTGTAAGAGTAATATGTGGTGTACCGCAAGGCTCGGTGCTAGGACCGAAATTATTCAACCTATACCTGAACAACATCTTTTCTGTATCGTCTCGGTTAAAATTTATTATGTTTGCAGATGAAACTAATTTCATTTGTATGGGAAAAGATATGAGTAAATTATTACAAGAGGTTTAAAATGAATTGGGTTTAATTAAAAAATAGTTTGATTACAACAAGCTATCACTAAATGAAAATAAAACCAAATTTGTGATATTTTCAGGGAACAGGCACAATGACGGTGCTAAGCTGTATTTAAATGGAGTCCCAATTGAACAAGTACATGAAACTAAATTCCTAGGTGTGATTATTGATAGTAAACTCAGTTGGAAACCACATATTGAATATATCAAACGGCAAGTGTCTAAATCTATTGCTATACTTTATAAAACTAGTGATGTACTAAATAAAAAAGCCTTGTTTTTGATCTATTGCTCTTTAGTTATGCCTTATTTGTCTTACTGTGCAGAGGTTTGGGGAAATGCAGGTAAAACGTGTGTTGAGACTGTATTTAAATGACAAAAAAAGGCGATTAGAATAGTTAATAAATTGGGATACCTTTAACCAACTCATAATCTGTTTAGTCAAACTAAAACGCTAAAATTAGGAGATATTATTAAAGTAAAAATCTTAGAGATTCTTCATAAAGTAGTTAATAATATCCCTAATTGCATAAAAGTTTATTTCAAACCAAGAGATGATCATTATAATCTCAGAGGTGTATTTATGTTTGAATGTGTAAAAGCCAGAACTAATGTGAAATCAAGATGTGTTTCCGTTGTTGGTGTGAAATTGTGGAATGAATAAGATGATGATTTAAAGGCCCAATGTGTGATATTTCATCTTATAAGTTATCAAATTTCTTGTATCACATTCTCAAATTTGTTTTTTTTTAATGATAATTCAAACAAGCATTTATTCTAAACATTATTATTAGCTTTATATTTTAATATTTTAGACAAAAGAAGCAGACCGGTGCTCCATATGGCATGCGCCATCTTAAAATACAGTGACCTTTTAGGGACATACAACATATTAAGCTTCGCATTTGATGTTTGCGTTTTTAAATGATGTAACCTCAAAGAAACAGCAGGGGGCAGAAGTGCGCCTTGTAAGCATGCAGTCTGACAAAGTAACTAAGAAGAAGTAGAAACTAGCCACACCGTACTTCTAGCGATGGAGGATCACATATATTCTTCAAGCAAACTTGAGAAACGGGATAGTTTGTCTCATCCAAGTAAAAGAAAAAGGATTTTGAAAAGTGAACAAGACCGGCGTCATGAGAAAACCAGAGTAAATATAGGAGTTGCCTTCCCAAGATGGAGAGACCTCATGTTACAAAAGGGATTCAGTAGACACGCTGAGCTTGCTACCTTCCTTTTGGACAGGTAAGTTAAAAATGTGTGTTTAATTTCTTCATTGTAGTAGTTTTGTGCTTTGTGACACAAAGTTTGTGTGGAGTAAGCTAGAGTTTGGGAAAGAGCTCATGCTAACTAGTGCCAAAAATGTAGCACACCATCTTAAAACGTTACTACACGTTATTTAAGTTTGTCCCATTGTCGTGACAGAAATTCATTATGCAATTGTCCTATTTTTTAGATTCAAACGGAAGTACAATAAGAATGCCAGAAGGTACAGTGTGTATTCACTAAAATCAGAAAAGGGCTACGAATACATTCCAGTACTCCAATCAAAAATAATCAACGAGAGGTTGGCGAGAGGAGTCGGGATGCCTCGTACCAGATCAATGAGGGATGATGACCCCAGACGGCTCGGTCTTGTGCCACCCATCGCTCCACCACCTATTTCGGAGCTAGTGCAGATCCAAGTCAGCCGAGGTCTTGGTATGTGACATTTTAGCATCCTTTGACTACAGCTCAGTTCTTTACCTACACTTGTCTTACAATACTTTTTTCACAGTATCAGAACTCAACACAGCTACAGGCCTCCAGTGACGATCTTGTCTACATTTACATGGAGTATTCTATACCTGCTGCGTGTTACTAATGTAATGTACATAAAAATGTAGATATTGCACTTTGATGTCTTTCCTACTGTGCTAACATGTTGTTCTTTTTACTTGAAGTAGCACATAAATTCTGCACAGTCTTTTACGTTAGATCTATTCTTTATTATCCTAAAGTGTGTAAAATCATGTTTCAAGATTAAAATGTGTTCCAAATTTGTCTGTTCAAACTCTGAATAAGGTTAATTCAAATAAAAGTGCATCTGTACTAATTTCTTTATTTCTTATGTCTTTCAGAAAATTACATATTTTTTGTTTCATGACTTGACCCTGTAAGAGTGTAAATTAATAGCTCACTAATGTAATGCAAAACTATGGAGTTGTAAAGATGTGTTTTTTTTTCACATTACAAGAGTATACATGGCTGAAGAGTAGCCACCTCTAAATTTGTCATTATTGTACAACACTAACATTGGGGTTTAAAAAAATATTTATTTAAAATACTTATTCAACATAATAAATTACAATATAAGGGTGTACAAAATATCAGAAACACTTCAACAACCCATGTAAACTTTTGACCAGTTACACTCCCGGAAGAAAACCAGTATACTGTCCATGAGGGTCTGGAAATTTCTCCCTAATTTTGACCACACAGCAACTTGGGATGACTCTTCGATTTCCATGTCCAAGTGACCCATGCTGCCAGAAAATGAAGTGCCGGTAGGCAGCATACCTGTATTCCCTGTTGTCATCGCCTGGTTCCCTAATCTGTCCTAATACGGTGAGGTCTGCTCTGTACTGACGATGGATCCTCAGGACACCTTCATCCAAACAGTAAAGTCTAAAATGGGGCAGAAGGCTTATACAGTTTACAGAGTCTTGTCCACAGCATTTGCGCTCTGCATCTGTTGGCATATCTGTGCAATTGCCACAAGTACACCATGTTAATGCAGGGGCCTGCACGGGTGTGGTGTGCCTATCTCGGCGTTGGTTGTTCAACAAAACATCAAAAACCAGACCTGGCTGTCTTTCCAAAAGTTGAGAGGTGAGATGACGGTGGTCCTCCAGGCTCATGCCCTGTACAAGGCGCTGGGGGGAAAAGTAGGATTAGAATTTTTGTAAGATTATTTTAATTGAATTACAGTAAAAAGCAATGTTTTGTAAATGTTTTAACAAGTTTATAAGAGTAGCTGATTAATAATGTATATATTAAATGGCTAATTCCTAAAATAAAGGTACTATCAAAAACAAATAATATGTATTAGGAAAGAAGTAGGACACTGAATGTTTTACAAAACTACATATAATTCCAAACACTTGCTATACGGTTAAATAGAATTACCGTATGTACTTATATGAATGAAATGAGTGACAGGACGGCATATATTGACCCAGATAATTATTAATTTGCTCATTATCTTACACAAACCTCAATTTCTGCTCTTCTTTCCCTTTGAAGCTCCTCGACTCTCTCCTCATCAGCTCTTGAAAGCGCCGATCTTCTAGACTTTATTGCAGCTCTGCCTCTTCCTCTTGTGCGTGGGACGTTGCGGCTGGTTTGAGCAAATTCGGCTCCTTCATCTTGGGATGCTTGCCCTGCTTCTGTCGCATGTCTAACACCTCTGCCTCTCTGTGCGCTGGCACACGTCTGTCCTCTCCCTCTTCCTCGCCCTCTTCCTCTCCCTCGTCCTCTGTCTTTCTCGACTGATGAACCATCGGATGATATCTGACTCTGTTTACGGAGAAAACAATTACAGACTACACTACCTTGTATATTTCCAAAATGGCAAATAGAAATATAACATTTCTCAAATAAAATGAACAAAATATTGTCATTTTTTGTAGTCAGAAGTCATCACTAACTAGCTGCCGTTTGCTATTAGCAAACATAAGTGACAAAAAAGTTTTTCTTATTCAAAACCTATTTAGATTAAATTAATAAAATAAGTTAGATGAAAACAACTAACCTGTTCGCTGACTTGAAAGCTGGAATTAGATGATGACATGCTGCCGTTTACAGCAACACGATTTTGTATTGTATTTGTTATATTTGTTAATAAAGTTTTAAATAATGATAAAAAAAACCCTTTTTGATCCTCGGGGGCTCCAATAGCTGCAATACCGACTCTAAACTGCGTGGTGCTAAAGAGTCGGATCTTTTTACTATGATTTCTGTGAATTTCACACACGGGGCCTTTAAAGAAATTTACTTCTTTACTAAAGTTTAAAGCAGGTGTAAAGTGTCACATATTTACAGGGTATGAAAAGTATGTATAGACATGAATGAATTTTCATTGTGGTTATTTATACTGGGGAAAATAAAAGAAATGTATATTGGTTATGTATCTTAGGTGGAAAATAGGGTAGGCTAAAATAAGCATTGCTTCTGCCTATTTCCTTCTTTGGTTTAAATTCAAGTTGTTAATATTGTTGTTTTGTCTGAAAAGGAAAATTTTACGTTAATGCTAAGAACCAAAATAAAGACCGAAAGAAAGAAAGAAACTGTACGACTTCCTCGCAGGGCAGATCTCACGAGTCATGTACTCACACTGCACGACCCAGTTCTCAGTTGCGACCTGACTGCTCACACTGTACGTCTGGTAGCAACACGTCGGCCCTAAAGAATATGCTAAAAGTAGCAGTTTTTACACAACACGTCACTTTTTTTGTCTTGTTTTGCCTGTTCTTCGGGAGTGCTGCAGGAGGACACACAGGGATTTATGGGGATTGGATGAGAAAAACGAAATAAAGTAAATCTGTGTTTTGTGATCAGTTTAATTTGACATGAACACGACAAACACGCTTTCCTGACAATCTTTGTGAGTAAAAAAAAAACGTGTAGAAATAAAAACGAACAACGTGTGTTATTAGGGAAATAGCGGGCGAGCAGTGTTGATTCAGGATTGCGCATGCGCCGTGAGCGGTTCTAATACTTTTTGGGTCGCAGCTGCTCGCAGCGCCGCTTCAACAGTGCGATACCCTCACGAGGGATGAGAAAAATATTAAACACGCCAGAAGTTTGTGCGAGCTCACGATTGCTGATCGGTAGCTGGTCATGTGGTGTTAATCGCCTCTCGTAACCCCCTGTACACTACACGACGCTCAGCGCAAAACTTGCCCCGATCTCCTGGATTCTCGCACAAGTGGAAAATCGGCTCAAAAAAGTGAAAAAGTCACACAGTGTACGCCCGGCTTAAGGGGAGGTAGTGAGCCGGGGGTTTGGCCAAGAGGGAGGTTCGGAGTGGAGAGGGAGCGGAGGGTTGATGGAGAGCGAGCCAGTCCGGACGGGTGGATGGCTGAATGAAGAAGAGGAGCCAGTGTGGAGTCGTATGGATTCAGTGTGGGGTTTCCTGATGCGAAGCAAGACCTGAGGTAGGTTGCTCAAAAACATCCAAGCGTTACGAGAGTTCCAAAAAGTCACACAATACACTGGGAGACCTAGAGACGAGTACAAGTGGCTAGAAACTACCAGTCAGTAGCAATCATCCGGCGTCGAGTAGTGCTCACCATCCTCCTTAAGTATCCAACTCGCTGATTAGCTGACGAGATGCAGCTGCCGCTCCCTCTCCTGCAAACAGAACACTCAGAGATGGCGACGATGGGAAGAGTACTCACCCCGGCTCATTGCAAGTTTTTTTTATACTTAACAGCAGTTTTTTTTTAGAATTTCACTATTCAATTCGATTCCAATTCTTGAGGCTTCGATTCGATTTAATTTTAGTTGGGTCCAATATTAATTGATTAGCTTCTATATTGGTTCAATAATAAGAAAATACACAAGTAATGAAGTACCCAAGTATATTTTTCAATGATGTGTGCAGTATTACAAACATTTAAGAACAAACTGAACCCAGCCATGGTTTATTTAGCAGAAAACTATATTATACGTGTATTCAATACAAACCACAACTGTAACAAACCGGTGCTTTATTAACACCTCTAAAGTGTGTGTACAGTAATCCCTCGTTTATCGCGGTAGATGCGTTCCAGACCTGGCCGCGATAGGTGAAAATCCGCGAAGTAGGGACTCCCAGCATGCCCCTCGCGGGGATTCCCTCCACGTCGCACCTACGTCACAAACCGCGGTTATAAACGGAAGTCGCCTTTCCAGCTCACCACACAGTCATCGTTTCTTCAGATTCATGATCAGAGTTTCCAACCTACCGATCAATCCAACAAACTATCAGCTCATAGTAAGTTATCTTACTTACTTCTGGAAAGCCCGGCATTTCCGTGTCACTACGTTGACGCTCGAACGCTCGGGGTTTCCTAGATCAGCTGGCGTTTCACCGACGCTATCACTTCCGCGTCTGTGAAACCACGCTCCCTACACTGTAAACCCTGATAAGTTCAGTCTACTTAAAAAAACCAAGGTAACCCGTTGCCTTAAATTTTTTAAGTAATGAAGAATTAGTTGAATTGATGCAGCTGAGTATGTTCAATGTACTTAAGGCCTTAATGGGATTAAATTAAAGATTTAAGTTGAATATACAAATAACAAAAGTTACATTAACTTAAGATAATTAGTTTAACCAATGCCCCACCATCCTTTTAGTTAACTCAACTTGTCAAGTACAATGTAAACCCCAATAAGTTCAGTCTACTTAAAAAAACCAAGGTAACCCGTTGCCTTAAATTTTTTAAGTAATGAAGAATTAGTTGAATTGATGCAGCTGAGTATGTTGAATGTACTTAAGGCCTTAATGGGATTAAATTTAAGATTTAAGTTGAATATACAAATAACAAAAGTTACATTAACTTAAGATAATTAGTTTAACCAATGCCCCACCATCCTTTTAGTTAACTCAACTTGTCAAGAAAGCCTTACTCAATTACCTATCAAACTACATTGTGTATTCTAACTCAACAAACTTAACTTTTATAATGCATAAAAATCAAAATATAATATTCAATCCAAAGAGCCAAATAAATACATACAAAATATTTTATTAAACATTTAAATCTCAAATAACACATTTGTCCATGGAATGACAACAGAATAAAGAACTGAAGGGTAAAAAAAAACTCCAATTTTTTTTTTTTTTACACAAAGAGCCCACACTCTCCCCTCTATGGTAGAGGATTAGGCACACTGAAGAAAAATAAAAAGTATTCTGACTTTAATCTCAGAATTCAGACTTTTTTTATTCAGAGATGAAAGTTTAAAAAAGACAGAATTATGAGAAAAAAGTCAGAATACTTTTTATTTTTATACAATGGCCCTAATCCTCTTCCGCATCCCTCCACCTCCTCTCAACCCCCCTTCCTCTTAACATTCATGAATAGATGAACATTTAATGAACTCTAAATTTAAAAAAGGCATGTATGGGTGTGATAAAGTGAAACTATATAAAAAAAATAATAATAGTTTTATTTTTTAACACAAAGCCCATACTTTCCCCTCTATGGAAGAGGATTAGGGACACCAAAGAAAAATAAAAAGTATTCTGACTTTAATCTCAGAATTCAGATTTTTTTATTCCGAGATTAAAGTTAAAAAAAGTCAGAATTATGACTTTTTTCCTCCGTTAAAGTCAGAATTCTGAGAAAAAAGTCAGAATACTTTTTATTTTTCTTCAATGGCCCTCTTCTGTACCCCTCCACCTCCTCTCAACCCCCTTCCTCTTAACATTCAGGAATGCACGAACATGAACCAAAAGTTTCTCTAAACTTAATAAAAAAAAGGCATGTATGGGCGTGATAAATTAAAACTATAAAAATACACATCCAAAACCGCGCTCTCCTCCTTTCTCTATACCTCACCCTTACACCCCCCTCCCGCCTCTAATGATTTTCCCCCTCATTATTTACTTTTTAGTTAGTGACATTTTAGTTTGTCCTGCACTTTTCTCCTTTTTAAATATGCTCCAATTAATGTTTCAACAAATTGACATAATGCAGATGAAAGTTGCTATGTTTTCCTTAATTGCCAATTTTCAATGTACATAAAAAAATATGACATTTTTATCTTTGCAAAAGGAGGTAGATCTGGATCTCACATTGCAAGCTGATTCCTGAGTGTTTGGAGTTTTGGTGTTAGATCTGACTTACCCAAGTTCAGAAGTATCTGTTGAATAAAGTCAAATGTGTTTTTCATGTACTTTGGGTAGTTGAGATGCAGTGCATAAGTAAGTCCAAAGAGGATGTACATGGCCTGGGGCAGGTTCTCGGCATCCATCACAATCTTGCCCTCCAAGATGATTCCCACTGAGGATGTATGGTGGTGAAGGGACTGCATGTGTGCTGAAATATCCTGTTCACGGCAGAGGATCCCCACTGGAACATCACTCCACAAACTGTCTTCACCGTCAGTGTCCTAAAAAAAGGAACAAAGCATAATCACGTCCAAATTACGAAACAGTGCGATACTGGCGACAAACCAAAGCAACAAGTGTTGTCCCTCATGTAGTTACTAATTTACACCAGAAGATGGCAGACATCTGTAGCTGTAACTGCAGTCTGTGCAACATTTTTGGGTGTGTAACCCCTGCCATGATGCTGAAAGGCCGATTGACTACTGAGAAAGCCCTTCGTAAAGACCTCCTCCAACTACCGATTTTATTTGTTTTAAATTGTTCTCTGTGTTCTTTAAATTATGATTATTCCACTTATCGCGAAAATCACCAACACCTGTGGTGTTTTCTAGTATTTTTTTAAAAACAGCAGCATTAGTTCATTAGAAATTGTCCTCTGGGTTGGGAACGGAACCTTTAGAACCTTGGGAACATTTCCTCAGAGCCTGAGTAGGCAGGAGTGGAGTTTAGTCTCCGCCCAGGAGGAATGTGACATCACAAACACCAGCAGCTTTAGTCTGACTTTTTTGGTCTGCTACAGATTCCCTGCAATTTGAATGCAGAAATACTCAAATGCAAATTTGAACTTAATTTTCTTGACATATGTAATATAGAAAAAATAAAAATGCAAAAAAATATGTTAAGAACAGGAAAAAAAGATTTTCATTGGAGTGGGTCTTAAAAATAATAGGCGACTCAGAGTCTAAAGAGAAATAATCCCCCCTTTGATATTCAGTTGTCCAAGAAACAACAAAGTGAGGCGCTTTTTGGGCGCAGTTGCAGTGAGTCCAACTCGCCTCGACAGTCACCAAGAAGCACATATTATGCCCAATACTTTGTTTCACCACATCCAGGGTGGGAAGGAAGGTACATGATAGGGCTAACAGGGGTGGTCAAAACAATGCTAATGGTGACAGATAGGGATGCACCGATTGCAGTTTTCTGGCTGATCACAGATCTTCAGACAACCTTACCTGTCAATATCGATTTTTTGGTCTATCCCATTTATTTTATAACTGACAGCCAATCACTTCAATGTTTTAATTTTTATTGAGAACATCGATATGAATACTCACCAAACTTGAGGTAGTTTCCTCAAATATAAATGAACATAAGCATTGCTGTTTGAACTACAAAATCACATTTCTTCTTCCAGACTTTCATTTCTCTAATTTTGTTTAAAAATATATAAAATAAAAGAAAAAAAGAGGATACCTGTTATGACACAATTGTCCAAAAAATATTCCATTTCATTTGGCTTTCACATTATAACTGGGTTTTCAAGTACTTAATAAAATAGATTGGTGGATAAGACCAATTTCTCATGGAAAAATGGCAAATTTTCAATTCCCTCGAATTAACTGACTGTTTGTTTGACTGCAAACCGATAGCCTCACTAAATACAAATTAGAAATGTAAATTTCCTCCGATTACAAACTTTGAGTAATAATGATTTTTCAAATTTACAGTATGCCTTTAACTAACCACATTCAACCTGTTACATATAATGATATGAAAACGTATTTAATGAATATTATTTTGAATGAATAATATTTTCTTAAGCAACTGCAGCACCTACAGAGTTCATCAATGACAATAACAGAAAAAAGTCATTCTAACCCAAAATTGTAGAGAGCGAGAATGGGAGCTAAGCATCAAGGCAGAGAGAGCAGAAGGGACATAGGGGGGAATGAGGATAAAATATTAAACGTGTAACGCGGGAATGGCGTGACGATAGGTAAAAAAGTAAGTTCCTTACAAAGCAGGCCTTGAAGAAGGCAGATGGATCATCACCGAGAATGACTGGAAGCCCCCTGAGGACCAGGGATCTAACCTCCATCACATCCGAAGCCTGGTGGAATGAGAAAGAATTTCACTAATTTAGAACAGGGTCCATATCTCATTCTAAGAACTATGTTCTTTGCACATAAAAAAAAGCCCAACCACTTATCAGGGTTTTTCTAGGTTGGACCACCAAAAATTTAGGATCTTTTTAAAGATGTTTTTAGGGGTTTTAGTGTTAATGTACTGCAAACCACCTGTTAAATCATAACCAGTGTTTGACATTATTTTTACAGGTAGCTATCTATACGAATATTTTACAAATCAACAGGCAAAACCTGGTCAAGTAATGTTTAGCAATTACTCTTAGAAAATAGCCAATTCAAGTCTATTACACATACGCTACTCGGAGATAAAGCATCTACAAGCAGCATACCTGACATTCCTGTTACATTTTAATCTGACAAGGTATCTTTCAATCTCAAACAGGCAACAGCATTTTTAGATATGATTAATGAATTAAAAATCAACTAACCTTTGTTTGTCGCATCAGGTCAGCCAACACCTGCCCTGTAAGACCCCTCTTTGCCTTAAAGATTTCCATAAGCCTGGGACATAGGTGGTCAAGGGCCTCATAGAACTCCTTTCTCAGGCTTTTACCAACCACTCTGCTGAATTCCAGACACACCTAAAACACACAAAAAGAAAACATGTTCAAACAAATGGACCATGACATGATCTTTTTATGCATCAACCCAGACTACACTCTTAGTGGATTAGTACTTTGGAGCCTTTTTGGTGAAAAAAGATTTAAAAAAAACACTTGAGGCCATAAATCTCCTCTTTGTCCATTATTGTTGCCAAAATTAACAATAAACAGCCTGCACAAAAGTGCCAATAATTTCTGGCCAAAAATTTTCTATGTCCAATTTTAGCAAAAATGTTATGTTTAAAACAACATACGAGGGAACTCTATGGACATACCTGGTTTTCCGTAAAGAGAGGAGGCCATCGTTGACATATCTGGATGATGGCGGGCTTGTCGTTCACAATTTCTTTCCTTCGAAGAGCAAATGTCAGATCCATCTTTTGCTTCATCATGGCTGTATTTGGAGTTTTCTTCTTCATTTCTGCAACCATCAGCTGTCGAGCATCTTCAAGACTGGACTCATCTTCTCCCTCTGGATAATCAGGTAAGTAATTGACTTCTCCTCTCTTTGGCTTCTTGATTCTCTTGTTTGGTGGATCTCCAGAAGGAGAGTGCTTTCCGTATTTACCACCGTTGACAGTGACATCAAGGTGACCCAGCTGACGCATTTTTGTTCTGTAATTCCCCATCTTGAATTTCAGGCTGTTTTTCCAGCCACTCCAGCCGGACATTGATCCTTGTTCTTTCAGACATGGGTGCACTCGCACCAGTGCTGAGGCAACAGCTTCAAATTCCGCATTTGTTGGGTAAGCTTTCATGGCATATATGGTCTCGGCAAGCCTCTCAAGGATGTCATGTTTTAGCTCCTTTGATGGGTTGAGGTGTGTTCCATCTCTGAGATGCAGCAGGTTTGCTTGACGCAGTCTGTATTCTACATCTACAGAAAATTTTGGTATATACATATCAAAAAGCTCTGGCCACTGGCGTCGTTCCTGGGGTGAGTAGGGGAGGATGTCAGTGTCAGCCTGGCTTGTTGTGTCACTTGTGGGTGAACTCATCTGTATGTCAGGTACCGCCTCAAGAGTAAGCAAAGGAATGATTTTGACAGTAGGTCGTTCAGGTAGCTCTGATATCTCGGTTAAATTACAGAGTTCGTTGTCAAAGCTGGGATCTTTATACTGAAGGGTGAAGTTGTATTTTATTTGAAGCACATCTTTAAGGGACCCAACCAAAATATCAACTGTATCAGGCTTTGTTGTCAGTTCCACCTTCCTTATGTCCCCTTCAGTGATGATGACTCTCATAAGCATTCTCTGTTGCACAGCCATCTGTGGAGGAAGATGGAGAATGTTCAGCACAGAATAAAATGTTTGAGAGTGACCATTAGTTTCCCACCTATTCTGTATGCTGAAAGTGGGAAAACATCATTAAGCTCTGACAGTGAGACCATACAATGGGTTGGAGGCACATCAGTGTAGCAAACTTCATATGACCTAAGATGCTCATGGTACCATGCCGTCATTACTCTGCACACAAACATGATCTCTGCAAGAACTGCAACAATCTGCGTGATCTGTCTAAACTCAGGAAGACCAGAGCAAGATCCAACAGAGACTACCATACCTGCTTTGTATGTAATTCCATCTAGACAGACAGATGATGCTACAAGAATTGCTTCTGGCTTGTGGATTTTCTGACAGAGTACCCTTTGGACATTCTCGGGGAAAGATGATATCTGGACAGTAGTGACCTTCTCCATCTCCACTGGAGGTTTGAAAAATGAACTAGAGTCCAAATGATAGCTGACTGCTTTTTGGTGCTTCACCGCAAGTGTAAGAGCCACATTCCTGTAGTTCCTAGCATCACGAATAACCTTTTTGAAAAATTTGTGCTTGCCCTCAAAGCGCATAGTCCAGACATCACGCAACGGACCAAATGCTTTAATAAGTTGGGGATAATGTTCAATGTAGTGGTGCTTTGGTCGTAATTTAAACTCTGGGAAAGTAGACCGCAGTAGTTCTCTGTGTTCTGCTAACTTGGACTCCAAGAAGTAAAGTGTGTCTTCAGTAAACCTGGGGGCAACTACTAACTCCACAATATCTTTGACAAGCATGAGAACTTCCCATGCCGTTTCCCCAGGAGGAACATACTGACCAACAAAAAATGGAAGAAGCCGAATTAGACACCAGTTCTCATGTGCATTTCCCCCAATAGTGCCTTTTGTCAAACAAGCTTTTGTAATAGGCTGTGGCTGGTCGGTTTTGTCAGTAAACGTGTACCCAAATGATCCAATATGCTGATTTAGGGTTTCTAGGTCAAAATATCCCTTGGAAATCAGATCTGAAATGCATAAAGATATCTCGACTGGGACTATGCCTTCCAAAAGATCATGCATGAGGTCAGGAGGATAACCTTTGATCACATGGAAGTGCTCCAGTTGTGCAGTCAAAGGGCACTCTTTTTTCACACCAAATGTCCGACCAAGCTCTCCATCTTCCAGAACTTTCTGCACATCTCTGTCATGTCTGTCTTTGTCTCTGAGCTCAAAGGCACCAGAGCAGACCCCTTTTTCTTGAATGTCATTTTTACTTGCCATGCAGACTCTGCACAACTTATCAACAGTGAAGCTCTCATAAAATCCTGCCAATGCATGAGCACCTAAGTTGTCAGCTGCTACATACAAAACAGTTCCTTTCACACTTGCACCTAAGGCCTCTATGTAAACACCATCTTTTTCCAGTGCAGCTATATCACGTATAAGTGGGTCCAACACTTTAGCATAACCACATTCTTTTACTGTGGTTGTGTTGCATATAAGAGCAAGCTGGATACAGTTGAGTGATGATCTATGTTTCGCTGGTATATTGGCGATTACCCAGTACACCGCACACATTTTGTGCTTCTTCTTTGATGTACCTAATGGATTGGCCACTTCAAAGTCATCTATATACAGACCAATGGCAATTGTGAACTCATCACTTGTAAGAAGGGCATTTTCTCTAAAGTAAGAACCATCTATATATGTTTTGTATTCATTTGGAACATGTGTTTCCACAGTCATTGCTTTATCCAACACATCTGTCCTGCTTAGCAATTTCTGTAGCATTTGCTGTATGGGAACATATACAACCGATTTCTTATCTTTTTCAACAACATATTCCACTGGCATTACCAATGGAAATTGTTTAGATACATAGGATGCTCTCTTTTTTGTGGTTTCTAAGGAACCATGTTTGCCACAATATTTGGTCAATATGTTGGTGTCTGAGAAAGCATTGCACACCCGTTTCACTATGGACTCATCTATCACAGAATTATAGTCCTTAAGAATCATCTTCACCTTGTGATGTAGAAGGGGCACTGACAAATCCTGTATTTCACAAAGTTGTTTGATAACTTCCTGCACAGACCGCTCAGGGATGTGGAGGATAGTCTGCATCTTTAAAAAAAGTGCTGCCAAGTTATGCTCCAACTGATTTTCCAAACAATGAAGATCTATCTCACAAGTTTCCTCATTGATATTGTCTATATCATCTGTGTCATCAAATGGCATTTGCTCATCTGTAACATCACTTTCTTTGTTTTCATCACATATGACATTAACTATTTCTTTCTTGAACATATTCCAGTTGTCATATCTATGTGCTTTGCTTTTATGTGCATTGAAAGTTGAATATACACTGCTTTCAAATCTACAGCCTGCATATGGACACTGAACCTTTTGGTTGACTCTCAAGTGGCTGCTTCTGAGATGGGTGAAAAATTCTGCTTCGGAACAAGGCTCTTTGAATTCACACAACTGGCAGCAGAATTTTACAGCTTCATTTTGTCTTGGCTTTCCTTCATCAGTTTTACCATGAACACGAGATATGTGTGCTTTTAGGCTGTTAAAGGACTTAAATGTGCACAAACAGTCCTGGTGCAAACAAGGAACTGGTACTGTTCTTGTGTGACTTCCATGTTTTAGCCGGTAGTGTTTAAAAAGCTGTGCCCTCTTCCCACTATTAAAACTGCAATATTTACACCTCCACTCCATCTTCAGTTAGCTAACGATACAATAAATAAAAAAACAACTTGAAAACACACTTTCCAAATGCTGCTCCAGGTGTCCCGCTCAGCTACACTTCAAATAGCAATCTGAGGGGGGGGGAAACACTGTTAGAAAAAAGACAAAAAAGATGCAGCAACTACACAAAACGTCTTTATAATAACTAAACATCAGCTGTAGTGCACCGCTAAACTAACGGTATTTTGACATGAATAATCCCGCTTCAGAACTCCGTCGGATCCACGCACACTGTCTACTGGTGGACTGAGAACAGCCGCGCATGAACATTAGTCTAACATATTCTCTCTCAATAGACTACAGCATTAATGTAGCATCGACACGTAGCATAGCATCGTCTGTCGTGGTCTCTAGCATCCCCTACAAAAGAAAACTGCTCGCAAAACGACCGCACGGCTGCTACGTATTAGTTTATATAAATTTAATATAGTTTTTTAGCACAAACCGATTTTTTTCGTCTGTACAGCCCTGAATTAGCCAAGAAAGTGTCGGGGAAACGATAGCTAGAACTACCTTGCTAACATATCAATAGTTAGGCTACTTCATTCCCTTGCCAGTTAACATGCAACAAGTGTAAGTTTTCACTTACCGTTTTAGGACTGAATCAAAGACAAAAATATATCCTTCAACGTCAAATGTGGGTTGGATAACTTGCTTGCTCCTTCTCACACTCTCAAGTGCAGGCAGCCGCTTAGCGCTCAACAGTGCCACTGTTCAAAACAGGGTTAAACCAGATTTTTTGCGGGAGCAAAAGGCAAGCTTGATAAGTTGTTTGAACTCAAATACATACCGTAATTTCCGGACTATGCAGCACACCTCAATGTAAGCCGTGCCGGGCTAAAAGCTGCAGATGTTTACTGAATTCAAAACGTAGTTTAACTGAACGTAACTGAACTGATCAGTATTAAAAAAAAAACAGAAAAGTTATTGATTAGTTTATTCATCATCCTCCTGCGCACTGAAGTCATCTTCTTCAGTGTCGGGAGTAGAACAGCCTCAAAAGAGCTTCGTCCAGAGCCGTGTCCAGGACTTTTAAAATGGGGTGGCCCATGTGGGCCACTTGTTTATTCATGGGTGGCACCAATGGTTATGCTTATTTATTTATTTACACAAATTGTTTATTTATTTATTTACTTTCTAGTGAATTTTTGAGTTTCACATTGCACAATCACCATTTTTTCCCCTCTTCATCTTCTACTTTTGTGGTGGTTAGCAAGTCACTTCTTGTGTCATTACTGCCACCAACTGGAGTTGAGTGGGACTCTAAATATTATGTATGTGAATATGAAAAAATATTAAATAATATTAATACTACATACCTGGGCTAGAAAACAAGGTGAAAGGTGCATGCAACCACACACTATTTTGGAGTTTACAACCCAAGCCTTTTGTCGACAATGTAAAGTCAATTTAAACTGGAACTTAGTGGGGTGGCACCTGGGGTGGCCAATCAGATTCCAAGGGTGGCATGTGCTACCCCAAGCCACTCCCTGGACACGCCCCTGGCTTCGTCAAATACCTTTTCTGTGGCGATGTCAGTGTTGCTCTCCGTGTTGCTGTCATCATACCGGGGTGAAGCTGGGAAAACAAGCAGCGCCGTTTTGAGGTGAACAAAATCCTCCTGGGCGCTTTCCGTAGCACTCCTTTAACCCTTCATTAGACTTTCCAGCATCCATCCTTTCTGGTTAAAGCTGCACCTCATTATAAAGCCACATGGTTCAAAGCATGGGGAAAGTAGCAGCTTGTAGTCCGGAAAATACGGTAATTAGAATAAGCTAGACCATCAAAAAAGTGTGTCACTCAAAATTCCTAGTTTATGTAAGACATTACTGATGTTTAAGTAATATAAACTCAATTTGTTTCAGTAGACATTGTTGATTGAACTTACAAACATGATTAGAATAAAAAAAGGACATAAAAAGTGAAGTTTAATCAAAATGAACAAGTAATGTTCACAAATTAGGCCAATTTAAGTAATATGAACTCAGTATTTTAAGTGGTGTCAAAATCCGGGTTCACAGTGTACAAGCTCAGCTCCCGAATCCAGCTGACCTGTCTGACATACAGTACTATATTGAATTATCGTATGATCACATTCTCTTTTTGTGGGTAAAACTCAAGAAAAAAATTGTTTTTACTTGGGTTTTTTTTTAGTTTTATTACAAAAAGTGCATTTTATGATGAAATTGATGAAAAAACAAGAATTTCTTGATATTTCGCATAGAAAAATCTGCGAATTCCCCCTGAAAAATGTTCCAAAGAAAAAATCAACGAAGCGGCGAATCCGCGATGAACGAACCGCGAAGTAGCGAGGGATTACTGTACCTGTAAATAGTAGAAAGTATTTCTTTCTTGCTATACAATCAAGTTATAAAAGAAATGTAAGCAGAAGCACAGAATGTTGCTTCATTAAACAAAAGTGCAACCTTAGATAATTTTAACATTACCAAGTGCTATTTGGTCATCACAAATAACACTGAAGAGCTGATCAGAGAACCTTTGACTTATTTACTGTGCCTATATGTAGGGTACATTATAGCCATTGCCATCATATACCTCAACAATTTATTACAGTAACATGTTCACTCCGAACCACTTGTGATCAAACTAGTGCACAGTCAGATTTTTGTTCAAAAACAGCAGCTGGTCTACATGCTCAGACGTCAGTGTGCTTCTCTGGGCTGTGACAATGTCACCAGCTGTAGAGAAGACTCTCTCAGCTGGTGCACCACTAGAAGAAGAAGAAGAAAATATCATTTCTATAGCGCCTCTCAAGATAAAAATCACGAGGCGCTTCACAAAAACAAAAAAAATGTTAAAATATAAAAAAGCATTTAGAAAATGTTTAAAAATATATTTAAAATGAGCAAAAATAGACAATTGGGATTTAAAAGAAAAAATGTTAAGAAAGAGAAAGTGAATAGGACAGAGGGAAATCAGTGGATCCTGAAGAAGGTGGAATAGGTGGGGAGAGCAGAATAAAGAGAGAGTGGTGAAGAAGGTCATACAAAAGCCAGCTTGAACAAGTGAGTCTTCAGCTGCTTTTTGAAGGAGACCACTGAGTCCACTGATCTCAGACTCAGGGAGAGAGTTCCAGAGTCTGGGGGCCACAGCAGCAAATGATCTCTCACCTTTGGTCTTTAGCCTGGTGCGCTGCACAACCAGTAGGCTTTGACCACTGGACCTCAGGGACCTGCTGGGGGTGTAGGGACTAAGAAGATCACCAATGTAAGATGGTGCTTGTCCATGTAAGGCCCTATAGACCAGAACCAGGATCTTGAAATGAACTCTGAAGTTGACTGGCAGCCAGCGAAGCTGGAGGAGAAGCAGGGTGATGTGGGTGTATTTGAAGGACTTGGTCAGAAGCCGAGCACAGGCATTCTGAACCACCTGTAGACGTTTCAGGGAGGTTCTGCTCAGACACGTGAAAAGAGAGTTACAGTAGTCTAAGCGTGAGGAGATGAAGGTGTGGATAACTGTCTCAAGTTCAGAGCGAGACAGAATGGGACTCAGCTTAGCAATGTTCCTGAGATGGAAGAAGGAAGAGCGAACAAGAGAACTGACATGAGAATCCAGGGTGAGAGCTGGGTCAAAGGTCACACCAAGATTCCTGACAGAAGGTTTGGTGTGGGAAGCAATCTGACCAAGAGAGTCTCTGACTTTGGGAACCAGCTTGTCTGGGGCACAGATGAGGATCTCAGTCTTATCTTCATTCAGCTGAAGAAAGCTCCCAGCCATCCGGGTTTTGATTGAGTCTAAGCAGGTGTGTAACAGCTGCAGCTTAGACATCTCATGGGTCTTAAAGGAGATGTACAGTTGGATGTCATCTGCATAAAGATGGTAGGAGATTCCTTTGAAGGAGCTCAGGATGTGTTGAAGAGGAAGCAGATAGAGCCGGAAGAGCAGAGGCCCCAGCACAGAACCTTGTGGGACACCATGGGTAAGGGAGGTGGTGGAGGACCTAAACTAGGAGAAGGCCACAGAAAAAGAAAGCACTACCAGGAACACAGAGGTATTGCTTAGCTTGACATGACAAAAGAGGGAATTCCACCAGCTGAGTGGTACTAGTTTTATCTCTTTGTACTTCATCACCTCATCTACTGCCTCATTTATTGTTGTTTTCATGGAGTCTGCTTCTGGAGTATATGTCTGCCCAAGGAGATCTGCCAATGCACAAGAGTCTCTTTTCTTCTTGGATGGGGGTCCAGAGACCTCAGCATGTTCTGCTTCCTTGGCATCTGCATGTATTGGTCCAGTCTGTTGAGAAAGCAAAGGAACTGTACTGAAGGAACTTAAAGAGCGGGTCAATTGAGCCTCGGAGTCCTTCTCCACCCACGTATCAATTTTAAAAAATGCAACATTAGTAGGCGTTGCCTGGAGGACCGAGAGGGCGGAGCCGCGGCAGTGACGAAGACGACGGCTAACTAGACGATGCTAGCTCCCTTCACTCTATGCAGTTATTAGAAGTGGAGGATGTTTCTCCCCCTCCTTACCCAGACACTCGAGAAGAAAGGGACCAAGTCTATTTGGAGGAGACAAGCGGACCTGAGCCTTATTGTTGTGAGCTTGTGAGTTGCCTGTAACTCCCAGAACCGACCCAACAGAACCAGCTCTGAACGTAAGTAGCCGTTAGCCATAGCGTTGGATTAGCTGCAGGGTTTGTCTCCACGACCCTAGAGCTAGTGTTCAGCATGTTTTAGAGGTTTATCTGCTTCAACACACCTGGTTTTAATCAGCAACAAATAGCTGAGCTGCTTAACAGCTAATCTAACCTGTTAAAGCAGGAAAACCACTGAAACGTGCTGGATAGCAGCTCTCCGGTAGCTCTGGGCTCAAGTTACAGTCTGCTGCATAAAGTTATGAAAATACCCCATGAGAAAATTATTCTGTAATGTGTTCAGCTCACTAAAACTGCCCTGATTTATTTATTTACTGATAACAGCTGCTCTCTTGGTTCTAGGTCCTCTGGTGTCTGCAGCTGGTCTCTGGTGTCTGCAGGTGGTCTCCTCTGCTGGTGTCGTCAGGATCAGGAGCTTCCAGAAGAATGTGCCTTTCAATGACTCTTTCCCCCTTATTTGTTATATTAATTAAATAAATCTCAATTTATATATTTCCTGTTTTTGTTCATGTCCATAAATACTTAAACATGCTTGAAATTAAAACGAGCTTTTAACAGTGAGGTGCTAGTTTAATTCATCACAATAGAGCTAGTTAAACATGCATTGTGATAATTCAATTAATGTAATTTATAAATATCCATTAAAATATCAAAACTGGAATCTATATGAGATATTTGGCAGCACAAAAAAACTTGTCAAACACAATATTTATTATAATAATTGTAGGCAGACAGGAGACAGAGCTGATGGAGGTTCTCAGTCATCGAAGGATGGCTGAAGGCTTTCCAGGAACAGGAGATGTGGTGTTGTCTCTTCTCTCTCTATTCTGCCAGATGAGCTGATAGGTTACAGGTGTGTGAGGACATCCTCATGCTGTCATAACCAGATGACAGGAGTTATCAGGTGATCAGCCAGGCTAATGAGATGCAGAAAGAAAACAAATTCAGGACAGTGTACAATATGTGGTGTTGCTCACCTTATGTGCTCTTATAGAGTTATTAACGTGTGCCTGCCTCATGGTGTAGAGTCCATATTTTGCTGAGTGTCCTGCAATAATGCAGGTTATTAGTTAATTTACTTTTGATAGCAAAAACAAAATATTTAATGTAAAAGTTGTTTTCCAGGTGAATCAGCTCACACGTCACCACCAAGTGTCACGGGGGCAGAATCAGTAGCCTCCGTCATGATGTAATCACATACTTATTTAATTGTTAATATCTTAAAAATTCTGAAATGTTTTAATTTTTTTTTTTTTTACCTTGAACAGTTCACTGAGCTTGCACTGTCACTGAGGTGGAAGCTGGAATCAACAGCAGACACCTCACACCTTGGTCTTTTCAGGGGGTGTGGCCGCTGCTCTGGGACCTTCTGGAAGATGAATTTTCATCATGGTCCCCGTGGGTCACCAGTCACACTGCGGCTGTGAACTCCATTCTGGCTGGCTATGTAAAAACAAAGAAGCAGCACATTTATAAATGTTTAAAAGAGCATAAAATCACGTGTAACAATAATCTGTAAAACAAATTAAAACTAAAAGGTGATAATAAAATGTTTACATAGAAGATTATTAAAAATAATTCACCTTTGCTACGCCGGTAAAGCTTCACGTCAGGTTGGACAAGTGCATTCTTGCAGCTAAATCAGTCTGACAGCCAGTGTCTTGGGTAGATTTAGCCTGAAAAAAAAAATAGCACATTGTTGTTGGGAGTTTATAAAGTCAGATAATATACAAAAGAAACTGTCCCATATAGGCGCTTTATAACATTCCTAGTGTGTGATCATTATAACGTAAAAGTCAGTCACATATGATGTGGAGAGCCTGAAATGCGACCTCCTGAACAGAATTCCTCACAGAACCTGTTCACAAGCTGGATTTCACGCTGTAATGCTGTCTGTCAAGTGCTGCGTCAGTTAGAGACACTGTTGCAGAATTGCCGACTGACTAGCTAAAGGAAGTGAACCACGTCTCTCAGACTTTGCATTCAGGTAGGGAATTGTCTTTAGAAGATGTTAAAACGTTTATTTAGCTTACTCACCTCAGACTGGAGCCCGCCGTGGTGGGGGAGCAGAGTCGGTGGGCTGCATCTAAATCGCGGAAGAGCCACGGTGGGCAGCCTCCCTCTTCAAACGGAGACGTGCAGAATCGCGGGTAAAATGCCCACAGAGTCACCGCAAGCATACTACACTACACCTACTCACCAATACTAAAACGATATGGAGCACTAAACCCGAACTACTTTCCTAATAACACTAACAGCCAAAAACTAACTAAACTACAATATCCAACAGCCAAATCTAACACTAAATAAGTATTTATAACACTAAAAGATATGCTAAGACTAGGATATGCTAATGCTATATGCTAATGCTGAACTACCGCTGACCTCCCCTCGCTTGCA